ATAATAATATTATTCTATTTTTAAAGAATATTTTGTGAATAATAGAAATTATCTAAAGAATAAATTTTTTAAAGGCTTCAACAAACTCTTTATTTTCCCTTTTCAAGTTTTTAATTTTTTCTCATTTTTAATTAGTTTTTAAATGTTAATGGCTAATTAGTTTAGAGTCAACAAGAAGATGTCTATTACACGGAATTGGTAGAATGGCTCTATAGCCTTTCCATGTGAATCTAATGTCTTTTAGTTCAACAAGTGCGTGTTTGGTAGTGTCATAAAAAAATTATTTTGAGAGTGGCTTGCCTTTTATGAAAATAAATAAATTTTAATATAATAGTATTTTGAAAGTTAAAGCTAAAAATAATTATTTCATACGTTTTGTTCGTGAGATAAATAATTCTTTTAATAATAGCAAAATGTGTTTGAAAAAAAAATATCTAAAAGTAAATGTTACATCAATATTTTACATAGTTGCAGTAAGACAAGCGTAGATCCCATGTGCGCTAACTAGACTACTAGCTTTATCTAGTTGCACCAATTTAAATGAATTTTACAAGGACCGTAAAACTTATAGCCCCCTCATTGAGGTGGCGCTGGCCCCCACGATGTGAGGGAGCTGTGAGCCATGTTGTGTGTTGAGCTATGCACACAGCATGACCCAATTTAAATACTTACGAACAATGGGTTCAACAAAATATGTAGATATAGTGGACTATAGAGTAAATAAAAATCGTCAATATTTGTTTTGTCGTGCTTTTAAGTATTTATGAACTATGGGTTCAATATAATATGTGGATAAAGTGGACTAAAAAGTAAGTGAATTGTCAATATTCATTTAACTTAACTTAAACTTACTAAAGCGTTATCATGAAATCAAAATACAAAAGCAAAGTCGACATAATTGAATAATTAAGGGTATCTTTAAAAAACTCTATAAACACAAAATATTCATTATTTTAGAGAGTCAGTTTTTCAAACTAATTTTCAAGATATTCTTTATCCTAGCTTTTGAAATGGAGAATGAATTCATAATAATTTCATATAATAAGCTATGGATTTACATACTATATTTAAATTATTCAAATTATATTTGAACTGATTGATTATTAATATATAAGAAATACAAATTAAATAAAAGATAGAATAAATCAATAAATGTTTCTTAAATAAAATAAAATAAAAATTCAAAATAGAGACATCGATGGAGCGTATAAAAATATTACTCTTCAAATTAAAAAAAAATTATTTTTTATTTTACATAATATGCTCTTTATTATTAAAAAATATCTTGCAAATGCTCTAACAAATGACATTCACGACAAATTTTCTAGAACTTTGGCCTATCTCAATTTTAATTTGTGGAAATTACATAGAAGCCTATTTTTAAAGATCTCATTTCATAAATCATATAATAGATTTATTGTTTCAAAACTCATGATAAATTAATTAAATTAATTTAAATGTTACATCACTGCTTATGGTGTAAACAATGCTTATAATAATATTATTCTATTTTTAAAGAATATTTTGTGAATAATAGAAATTATCTAAAGAATAAATTTTTTAAAGGCTTCAACAAACTCTTTATTTTCCCTTTTCAAATTTTTAATTTTTTCTCATTTTTAATTAGTTTTTAAATGTTAATGGCTAATTAGTTTAGAGTCAACAAGAAGATGTCTATTACACGGAATTGGTAGAATGGCTCTATAGCCTTTCCATGTGAATCTAATGTCTTTTAGTTCAACAAGTGCGTGTTTGGTAGTGTCATAAAAAAATTATTTTGAGAGTGGCTTGCCTTTTATGAAAATAAATAAATTTTAATATAATAGTATTTTGAAAGTTAAAGCTAAAAATAATTATTTCATACGTTTTGTTCGTGAGATAAATAATTCTTTTAATAATAGCAAAATGTGTTTGAAAAAAAAATATCTAAAAGTAAATGTTACATCAATATTTTACATAGTTGCAGTAAGACAAGCGTAGATCCCATGTGCGCTAACTAGACTACTAGCTTTATCTAGTTGCACCAATTTAAATGAATTTTACAAGGACCGTAAAACTTATAGCCCCCTCATTGAGGTGGCGCTGGCCCCCACGATGTGAGGGAGCTGTGAGCCATGTTGTGTGTTGAGCTATGCACACAGCATGACCCAATTTAAATACTTACGAACAATGGGTTCAACAAAATATGTAGATATAGTGGACTATAGAGTAAATAAAAATCGTCAATATTTGTTTTGTCGTGCTTTTAAGTATTTATGAACTATGGGTTCAATATAATATGTGGATAAAGTGGACTAAAAAGTAAGTGAATTGTCAATATTCATTTAACTTAACTTAAACTTACTAAAGCGTTATCATGAAATCAAAATACAAAAGCAAAGTCGACATAATTGAATAATTAAGGGTATCTTTAAAAAACTCTATAAACACAAAATATTCATTATTTTAGAGAGTCAGTTTTTCAAACTAATTTTCAAGATATTCTTTATCCTAGCTTTTGAAATGGAGAATGAATTCATAATAATTTCATATAATAAGCTATGGATTTACATACTATATTTAAATTATTCAAATTATATTTGAACTGATTGATTATTAATATATAAGAAATACAAATTAAATAAAAGATAGAATAAATCAATAAATGTTTCTTAAATAAAATAAAATAAAAATTCAAAATAGAGACATCGATGGAGCGTATAAAAATATTACTCTTCAAATTAAAAAAAAATTATTTTTTATTTTACATAATATGCTCTTTATTATTAAAAAATATCTTGCAAATGCTCTAACAAATGACATTCACGACAAATTTTCTAGAACTTTGGCCTATCTCAATTTTAATTTGTGGAAATTATATAGAAGCCTATTTTTAAAGATCTCATTTCATAAATCATATAATAGATTTATTGTTTCAAAAATCAGATATTTTGTTAATTAATATATTATCATTAGATAAATATATTATTAAATTTAATTAATTTATAAACCAACCTTACCTCCCTCCACCCCACCTCATTTTCCCCAAAATCGTTCCCTCTCATCTCTCTCGTCGCCATCACAACCACCACAACTATCGCCACTACCACCATCAACACCAACATCACCACACCTCACCAAAGCCATCCACACAAAACCCTAATTATTTTCGTCCTCTCTATTCCACTGGAAGCCATCATTGGCGAGCCGCCATCAGAAAAACACCGCCAATGACATCGTTGCATGATCTACCGTGGCTACTGCGCGATCATCTATTGTTGCTGCACGTTATTCTTTCTTGCTCCATCCTAGATCTATTTTTCTATTTTTGATTTTGGTGGCTGACGATGTGATGTTGGTGCGGTGGTGTGCGGTACAAGATGGTGTGTGCCGTGCGATGCGAGTTGGTGGTGGTGCTGTGCTTTGGGGAGAGTGTTTGTGTCCATTTATTTAGATGGTCATGGTGGTTCAGATGATGATGTTTGATGGTGGTAGAGATGATGTTGCAGGTGATTGTGTTCGATAATGGTAAAAATGATCTAGATGATGGGTGCAGGTTATTGTGTTTGGCGGTGGTGGAGATGGTGGTTTTGGGGGGTCACAATGGTTTTAGTGGAGTTTGGGTGGCGGTGGCTTTGTCGGATCCAACGGTGGTAAAGAGTATGTTGGATCTAGTGGTGGTTCTGGTAGCGGAGGGTATGTTGATGGCGATGTTGTGGTCTAGCAGTGGTTATGGTTGGGATGGGATGGGATGGGGTGGGGTGGGGGTAGTAGTATTGGTGGTGGTTTTGGCGACGACAATTTTGGTGGCGATGTGGGTGGTGAATGTTGTGAGGTATGGTTATAAGTGTTGGCGGCGAATGTTGTGAGGTATGGTTACAAGTGTTGGCGGCAAATGATTTGGTTGACTATAACCATTAAATTAGTTAATATGTGATCAATAAATAATATGTGATTAATGAAAACGATAAATTGTGATCAAGAAATAATGTGTGGCCTGAAAAAATGTTAATTTGATATCGATAATTTGATAATTTATGACTGTGTAATAAGTTTTGACTTATTACGTTTGTGATTGTGATCGATAAATAGACTGTGATTTATAAATTTTTGACTTGTAACCATGAACAATTTGTGACATATAAATTTTTTATTAATTGTTAGCGTAAAATAATTTCTGACATATAAAAATTTTGATTTGTGATCGAAAAATAATATATGACTAACTAAATCATTAATTTGTGATCAAATTACATAGATATGTGACCTTAATATTTTAATCAATAAAATATATAAATAATTAATTAAATCATAAATAAAATTTAGTAAATATTTGATTTTTAAAATTTGAAATTGTTACGCTTCGTCACATATGGATCTACTTGGCTGACCCACTGTAGCTATTGGGCCACTCAAATCTAAGTACCTTGTATAATGTCGAGGCCTGAAGTCGAGCTGCCTTGCTACATAGTTGAAACCAAGCCTCAACAGGGCTTAGGACTATAAAGTCGAAGCCCACTTCTCCGAGGCCGAAGCCTCCGAAGCCCACATTGCCGAGGCTGAAGCCTCCGAATCATCTTCCATGGTCACTTCTTTCAAGAGATCCTCTTCTATACAGAAAGCTTATTCAAATGACTATAAGACATTTGTTATAAGTGTAAATTTTAAGTATTGTCAACAAAATGATGGCTCTATTTGAGTAATAAATGTATAGTAGGCTAGGATTATATGTTTGAAGTAAGTAGATGAGATCACGTGTATCCTCATCAAAAGCCACCATTTCACTTGCATCACTATAAAGACTCCCTCATATAACCCTTTTGAAGGCTAATACAACTCTTGATACTTCAATATACTCATTCTCTCTTCTGTTAAGTTAACTCATATACAATCACATTCACGATCAACCTGCATGTACTCCGTAACACGACACTTGTCGGCCTTTTTTTTGGGGTCAATAGAAACTCTTATCTTAATTTTGAAATGTTTTATACCTAACCTCTCAGTTGGGTTTTCCTTTTTCATTTCTACTTTTGTCGAGAGAGAGAGAGAGAGAACAAAAAACGTCGGAACAATAATGTGCGGACCAATTCAACGCTGTTTGCTCCGCGTATAAAGCTGGGCATCGGTCCATTTGCCAATGAATCGGGACATATCGCTTTCTGTGGGAAAAAGACATTCGGGCTGAGAAATCGGTACGCCTGATTACGTTCGCCGCCGATCTCTGGGCCTTTGAATTTTCCTCCGCCATCTAAGTCAGCCACTCATGGCTTTCTTTTCCGAAAACTCTCGCCGTCAATCTCTTATTCCAAGTTTCCTTTACTCTTCCTCTTTGTCTTCCAATAAACTAGCACTTGACAAAATGGTTAGCAACTCAAACCCGAGCTTCACGCCGTCGCCTTCATCTGCATCGACTCCGAACAGGAGCTTTATGATCCCGGCGCCGAGCGAGCCAGGCAAAATCGAGATGTACTCTCCACAGTTCTACGCTGCCTGTACTGCTGGTGGAATACTCAGCTGCGGTCTCACTCACATGGCCGTTACTCCTCTAGATCTAGTCAAATGTAATATGCAGGTTCGTTTGGCGAAACCACTACCAGATCTATTCATTTCTCTATTATTTTTCATTGATTTCATGATCCCTTCATTGCTGTGGGATTATGGTGTCTTTTCATCGATTTTTAGTGTATATTGATTTGGAATATAGACAGATCTGGTGGTCTTCTGCAAGTCTAATATAGACCTGATGGAAATTTTCATAGTGTTGCCTGAAATATGTCTTTGGCGGAGATTTTGTGCTGGCTTTAAGTTCTGTTCTTCCTATCTAAGATTGGTTTTGTAGATGAACAATTACGTATAGGCATAAAGATTTTAAAATATTTTTATTTGTTGTGAGTCTGTGGGATTTAGTTCAGATCTTGCTAGCTCAGTTGTAGTCTCGATCTAATTTGGTTCGTTCTTTCTTCCTGAATGTATAAAGTATTTGAGAACTATAAGTGAGGTTTTTGGAATTAAAAATGAAATTCAACCAATTCAAAATCTTCCAACTCAAACGAAGTAATAAGTTGCATAATTGTCTACGCCTTAGATTGGACGAGAGTGACTATATTTTCATGAAAGTATGTAATGTATAGCATATAATGAAGTCAAGCCATGGTTATCAATTTATTGATTTTTGTGCCTCTCGCAATTTTATTTTATTTAATTTTTTTCGATGCTTATGATCTTTAATCTTGATAATTACATACTCACTCGCTCAATTGAATCTAATCTTTTTCTCTAATTTCTCAGATTGATCCAGCAAAGTACAAAAGCATCTCTTCTGGTTTTGGAGTGTTACTTAAGGAACAGGGAGTGAAAGGTTTCTTCAGAGGATGGGTGCCTACCTTGCTTGGTTACAGTGCTCAGGGTGCCTGCAAGTTTGGGTTCTATGAATACTTCAAGAAGTACTATAGTGACCTTGCAGGACCTGAAAATGCAGCCAAATACAAGACTCTGATCTATCTTGCTGGTTCTGCATCTGCTGAGGTCATTGCAGATATTGCTCTCTGCCCCTTTGAAGCTGTGAAGGTTCGTGTTCAGACGCAGCCTGGTTTTGCCAGGGGGTTGTCTGATGGGCTTCCAAAGTTTGTGAAATCTGAAGGTGCTCTGGGGTATGCTAAACACATCTTTCTTTCATTCTATCAAAATTTTGGCTTCCAAATTAACATATTGGATTCATATTTTCCTCAATGTTTGCAGGTTGTACAAGGGCCTGGTTCCTCTTTGGGGACGTCAAATTCCATGTAAGTTTTAGATGTGTGTGTTAATTTTTTCTTGGGCTTTTCAAATGAAATATAAGCCCGACATTGACTTCTGCACCTTTGACTGGCTTGAGGATGATAGATGTCAAAAGGCTTACTATTCCACACATAAATTAATTTATGTGGAGAATCATTGCATGAACCTTTTTGAAGTGCATTCCTTTGGTTGTTTACTGGTCTGTTGTTGCTTGATGAGTGCATTGATTCTTGTATCTATCGGCAGTTGCAATTTCTTGTAGAAATATTTTTTATTGCCAACTGTTTGGCCTTCATTACATTCAGTGGGTTATATTCCTTGATTATTTGATCTTACATCCACATTGATGTCTGATAATATATTCTAACTTTTTGGAACCTTTTTTTTTTAATTCCATGTAGAATGTGGTGTGGATTATTTACATGTAATGTTCACATGGTTTCTTGAGGTAACTGCTACAGGTTTTAATTGCCTTTGATTGGCATATGATGTGGATTTCAAATGGCTTGCTTTTCCGCATTAAGAAAACTAAATTCTGTGGATTATCAATGCATGAACCTTTTTAACTGCATTATTCCTTTGGTTGTTTATTGGACCATGTCATTGCTTGGTGCATTCATTGCAAAGTAATTGTTGCCCTTGTTCGTGTATCCATGTTCAGTTGTAATTCCTTGTAAAAGTAACTTTTATTGCCAATTTTGCCTTTATTACATTCTGTGGGTTATGTTACTTGGTTAATTGATCTTGCATCCACATCAATGTCTAACCTATTTATATGCTCACAATGACCATAATATATTTGAATTATTTAGAACTGTTGTCATACCTATGTAGAATGTGGTGTGGAGTATTTAAATGTAATGTTTACTTGGTTCTTTGAGACAACTGCTAGAGATTATCATCCAAACCTAGCTATTGTTGGATATTTCAAGTTTTTATTTTGCAAGATTGTGAAAGGATTTGATTCTTTTGATGCATATATTTTATGCCTTACGTGATGTGATTATATTCTAACTTACCTTTATACAAATATAATTTATCATTGATTTTGTCATACTACTAGAAATTATAGGTACTCACAGTCACCTAGTTTATTGTTTCTTTTCTTTTCAAGATAGTGCCGTTGATAGAAAATTATATGATGTTATGAATTGTATCTTTTTGTACTTAATTTATTATATGCTTGGTATCTAAACAAACCGTCATTGACGTTTGGTAGCTGAACTGTTAATTATTTGCTTCTTTGAGGCTAATAATTGACACTTTCTTGAATTTCAGGATTTCAGGATTTTTTTTACATATTGTAGGATTTTGGTTTTACGCATTTATTCAACTTCTACCCACTTATAAAATCTAGCCATGCCTTGCAACACACTTTTAATAGCTGCTTTACTGTTTGGGTTATTTGCTTTATTCTTTTTAGGGTCTTCATATTTATTCGTAAGATGGCATCATATTTATTCGTAAGATGGCATATCTGTCAATTTTAGAAAAGCTTGCGATGTTCTCCATTTGTACATTTGTAACCATGCTTGTGCATGATATATTTTCGCAAGTCTTTCTACTAGGGGGTCATTTGATATCAATACATGGGTTAATTGACAGATACAATGATGAAGTTTGCATCTTTTGAGACTATTGTGGAGATGATTTACAAGCATGCTATCCCTACACCTAAAAGTGAATGCAGCAAGCCCCTGCAGCTTGGTGTGAGCTTCGCTGGTGGATATGTTGCTGGTGTTTTCTGTGCTATTGTATCACATCCTGCTGACAACCTTGTCTCTTTCCTTAACAATGCCAAGGGTGCTACTGTTGGTGATGTGAGTCTACTATTTATGTTGTGTGCTGGACCTTCTTTTTCTTATTGTTATTTTTCTTTCTACTTGTTTGCGCACTATGGGTTCTACATTCGCTTTCTATGTTAATCCTTTCTCTTTTTCAGGCTGTAAAAAATCTTGGTTTATTGGGTCTCTTTACTCGGGGACTTCCCCTCCGTATTGTCATGATTGGAACTCTCACAGGGGCTCAGTGGGGTATCTATGATGCCTTCAAAGTTTTTGTTGGGCTGTAAGTTTCCCTTTCCGAATATGTTTGAGCAATACAATTTCACTCCCAATCTCTGCCTGGAAATTAGTATTGTGCAAGGGGTACTTAATTCTTTGCTGGAAGTTGACTTAGTAACCCCCTGATTGTTTTTTCAGGCCAACAACTGGTGGTGTTACTCCTGCTGCTGCACCTGTTGCCACCGAACTTGCAAAGGTGTAGAATCATATGCAAAAATTTTCACATCGTAGGTTTTCATTAGGGTGGTCAATAAATGTTGCATGCCTGGTGCTGCATCGAGTGGCGTTTAGCAGGTGAAGGGTATTTTTTTTCTCCGACAATCTTTCTGTTTCACTAATTTGATGGTGTGGTCAAGTTCCAAATTCTCAATATATTTCGGATGTTCGATTTTGTTAGGAGTAGATACAAATTTTCCATATTAGAAGCTTCCGGATGGAAGCACAAATGTTAGCTCTTGCAAGCACATTTTCCAGATATGTAACTCCATTTTTTCTTGCAACACGAAGTTTAGCGTTCT